AAAAAGTTTATTTATAATTATTTATGCGTGCAATAAAATGTTATTGGTCAATATTTCTTAAAAAGAACATTTTATTTTACACTTACAGCAAGCGAAATGTTTTTAATAAACTTAAATCAAGATATGTTCGCTGAAAAGTCTGAAAAAAAGACAAAGACATTGAAAGACATCTTTCAAAGATATTTTTGCAGTGAACTCCATAGCAACCAGAGAATACATCATACTTGGGAGTTTCTTAGTGGATATAGTTGCGGGAGTGCCATGTAGATTTAATAATTGTTAACAAATCTTCTGATTACTGAGTTTTTATTGAACACACAAGCCCGCTGAGCAAATGGGTGCAGTTATTTGGATGGAGGTATGTGTGTGTGTGTGTGTGTGTGTGTGCGTGCGTGTGTTTGTGTGTGTGTGTGTGTGCGTGCGTGTGTTTGTGTGTGTGTGTGTGTGCGTGCGTGTGTTTGTGTGTGTGTGTGTGTGCGTGCGTGTGTTTGTGTGTGTGTGTGTGTGCGTGCGTGTGTTTGTGTGTGTGTGTGTGTGATGAGCAGGAGGAGGGTCTGTGTTTGAGAGAGATGTATTTGGCTCATCACTGAAGTGGATGAAGTGTAGAGAATATGAAGCAGGGCAATGTTGGCGGGGGGCTCAGCTGTGTTACTCAGCCTGTATTGTTTCAGCACTGCGTGCGATTAGCGCTGCCATTTTCTTCTTTGTCAAACACTTCTAGTGCTTCTGTAAGCTTGCCACTGGCCATATTGTTTATGCTGCTGCCCACACAAAACTATTTTGGCACACCCACGCTGTTTAAGCCATCAACCCTTTAGAGGGACAAAGCGCTCAACGACAAAAGCAACACAAAGCGAGCCGGCCTGACCCCTGAAAACCTCCGAGAGCGCCGGAGCGGCAGGGAACAGGTCGTACGTGAGGGATATGAATTCAGAAAGATGGAGGATATGGATTCTGCTGGTACATGGAAATGAAAACAAACATCATGTCATGCGGGGTGCATGTGACCCATGTCGTGTATGTGTGCAAGGGTTAAAGTGGCATTTGACCTCGATTTGCACTAATGCCACACAATTTATTAAAAAGCGGCAACAGACTTTTAGCATGTAGGATATTTATTGTGAGACAGTTTGAATAAAAAGCCCTTGAGAGAGGAAGTTATGACTTATGTAACTGGACAACTTATGTTGTGTTGATTTGTATGCAAAGCTTCTGCAAAATTATTTGCATCATCAGAACATAAGTGCCACAATAATCTTGAAAACACTAAAATATAACCACATGTTCTGGTTTGGGTGAACAATAGTTTAGGAAATGTCCATATCGTTCACGGAAATCACACTTATGTTGTATTTGTATGCAAAGCTTCTGCAAAATTATTTGCATCATCAGAACATAAGTGCCACAATAATCTTGAAAACACTAAAATATAACCACATGTTCTGGTTTGGGTGAACAATAGTTTAGGAAATGTCCATATCTATCGT